GTGGTCAGTGTGGCTGCTCCACACTAGTGACTCTTGTGGTCAGTGTGGCTGCTCCACACTAGTGACTCGTGGTTAGTGTGGCTGCTCCACACTAGTGACTCATGGTTAGTGTGGCTGCTCCACACTAGTGTCTCATGGTTAGTGTGGCTGCTCCACACTAGTGACTCTTGTGGTTAGTGTGGCTGCTCCACACTAGTGACTCATGGTTAGTGTGGCTGCTCCACACTAGTGACTCTTGTGGTCAGTGTGGCTGCTCCACACTAGTGACTCATGGTTAGTGTGGCTGCTCCACACTAGTGACTCATGGTTAGTGTGGCTGCTCCACACTAGTGACTCATGGTTAGTGTGGCTGCTCCACACTAGTGACTCATGGTTAGTGTGGCTGCTCCACACTAGTGACTTGTGGTTAGTGTGGCTGCTCCACACTAGTGACCCTTGTGGTCAGTGTGGCTGCTCCACACTAGTGACTCATGGTTAGTGTGGCTGCTCCACACTAGTGACTCATGGTTAGTGTGGCTGCTCCACACTAATGACTCATGGTTAGTGTGGCTGCTCCACACTAGTGACTCATGGTTAGTGTGGCTGCTCCACACTAGTGACTTGTGGTTAGTGTGGCTGCTCCACACTAGTGACTCTTGGTTAGTGTGGCTGCTCCAGACTAGTGACTCATGGTTAGTGTGGCTGCTCCACACTAGTGACTCATGGTTAGTGTGGCTGCTCCACACTAGTGACTCTTGGTTAGTGTGGCTGCTCCACACTAGTGACTCATGGTTAGTGTGGCTGCTCCACACTAGTGACTCATGGTTAGTGTGGCTGCTCCACACTAGTGACTTGTGGTTAGTGTGGCTGCTCCACACTAGTGACTCGTGGTTAGTGTGGCTGCTCCACACTAGTGACTCATGGTTAGTGTGGCTGCTCCACACTAGTGACACTTGTGGTCAGTGTGGCTGCTCCACACTAGTGACTCATGGTTAGTGTGGCTGCTCCACACTAGTGACTCTTGGTTAGTGTGGCTGCTCCACACTAGTGACTCATGGTTAGTGTGGCTGCTCCACACTAGTGACTCATGGTTAGTGTGGCTGCTCCACACTAGTGACTTGTGGTTAGTGTGGCTGCTCCACACTAGTGACTCATGGTTAGTGTGGCTGCTCCACACTAGTGACTTGTGGTTAGTGTGGCTGCTCCACACTAGTGACTCATGGTTAGTGTGGCTGCTCCACACTAGTGACTCATGTGGTCAGTGTGGCTGCTCCACACTAGTGACACTTGTGGTTAGTGTGGCTGCTCCACACTAGTGACTCATGGTTAGTGTGGCTGCTCCACACTAGTGACACTTGTGGTCAGTGTGGCTGCTCCACACTAGTGACACTTGTGGTCAGTGTGGCTGCTCCACACTAGTGACTCTTGTGGTCAGTGTGGGTGCTCCACACTAGTGACACTTGCGGTCAGTGTGGCTGCTCCACACTAGTGACACTTGTGGTCAGTGTGGCTGCTCCACACTAGTGACACTTGTGGTCAGTGTGGCTGCTCCACACTAGTGACTCATGTGGTCAGTGTGGCTGCTCCACACTAGTGACACTTGTGGTCAGTGTGGCTGCTCCACACTAGTGACACTTGTGGTCAGTGTGGCTGCTCCACACTAGTGACACTTGTGGTCAGTGTGGCTGCTCCACACTAGTGACTCATGTGGTCAGTGTGGCTGCTCCACACTAGTGACTCTTGTGGTCAGTGTGGCTGCTCCACACTAGTGACACTTGTGGTTAGTGTGGCTGCTCCACACTAGTGACACTTGTGGTCAGTGTGGCTGCTCCACACTAGTGACACTTGTGGTCAGTGTGGCTGCTCCACACTAGTGACACTTGTGGTTAGTGTGGCTGCTCCACACTAGTGACACTTGTGGTCAGTGTGGCTGCTCCACACTAGTGACACTTGTGGTTAGTGTGGCTGCTCCACACTAGTGACACTTGTGGTCAGTGTGGCTGCTCCACACTAGTGACACTTGTGGTCAGTGTGGCTGCTCCACACTAGTGACACTTGTGGTCAGTGTGGCTGCTCCACACTAGTGACACTTGTGGTCAGTGTGGCTGCTCCACACTAGTGACTCTTGTGGTCAGTGTGGCTGCTCCACACTAGTAATCTTACCATGAGGGCCAGAAGGTGTCACAGGCAGTAGTAGAGATGTATTAGATATAACGAGAGAGGCGTGTCGGGCGTTACCGGGAACTTGACCCATGTTGATGGGACGACCTGACGTTACTGGCTCGTTACTGCTCGCTGGTAGCTCTCTCTTGCTTGTTACCCGTCCACACTGTCTTGTGTATGGGGGGTGATGGGTGGTTCATGCCCCCCCCCACACACACACACACACACACACACACACACACACACACACACACACACACACACACACACACACACACACACACACACACACACACACACACACACACACACACACACACACACACACACACACACACACACACACACACACACACACACACACACACACACACACACACACACACACACACACACACACACACACCACACACACACACACACACAATAATGACGTGACAAGTGCCTGTCATGCTGCCAGTAACAGTCGTTGTCGTGTTCAGTTAACTACAACTTAGAGCCGGGCTATTACATGCCATTATGTCGTTAGTGTCTCGGTGTGTAAACGAGGCAATTACCTTCAGCCTCGGGGCTATCACTGGCACTTGTACTACTGCTGTTCTCTCTCACACTATCACCATGCTTCTCACCCTCACACTCTCACCATCACTACTGAGGCGGCAGTGATGGTGAGGAGGCTGTTACAGTGCTGGTGGTAGTCTCTGGGGTGTTACAGTACTGGTGTTAGTCTCTGGGGTGTTACAGTACTGGTGGTAGTCTCTGGGGTGTTACAGTGCTGGTGTTAGTCTCTGGGGTGTTACAGTACTGGTGTTAGTCTCGGGTGTTACAGTACTGGTGTTAGTCTCTGGGGTGTTACAGTGCTGGTGGTAGTCTCTGGGGTGTTACAGTGCTGGTGTTAGTCTCTGGGGTGTTACAGTGCTGGTGTTAGTCTCTGGGGTGTTACAGTGCTGGTGGTAGTCTCTGGGGTGTTACAGTACTGGTGTTAGTCTCTGGGGTGTTACAGTACTGGTGTTAGTCTCGGGTGTTACAGTACTGGTGTTAGTCTCTGGGGTGTTACAGTGCTGGTGGTAGTCTCTGGGGTGTTACAGTGCTGGTGTTAGTCTCTGGGGTGTTACAGTACTGGTGGTAGTCTCTGGGGTGTTACAGTGCTGGTGGTAGTCTCTGGGGTGTTACAGTACTGGTGGTAGTCTCTGGGGTGTTACAGTGCTGGTGTTAGTCTCTGGGGTGTTACAGTGCTGGTGGTAGTCTCTGGGGTGTTACAGTACTGGTGGTAGTCTCTGGGGTGTTACAGTACTGGTGGTAGTCTCTGGGGTGTTACAGTGCTGGTGGTAGTCTCTGGGGTGTTACAGTACTGGTGGTAGTCTCTGGGGTGTTACAGTGCTGGTGGTAGTCTCTGGGGTGTTACAGTACTGGTGGTAGTCTCTGGGGTGTTACAGTGCTGGTGGTAGTCTCTGGGGTGTTACAGTACTGGTGTTAGTCTCTGGGGTGTTACAGTGCTGGTGGTAGTCTCTGGGGTGTTACAGTGCTGGTGGTAGTCTCTGGGGTGTTACAGTACTGGTGGTAGTCTCTGGGGTGTTACAGTGCTGGTGGTAGTCTCTGGGGTGTTACAGTACTGGTGGTAGTCTCTGGGGTGTTACAGTACTGGTGGTAGTCTCTGGGGTGTTACAGTACTGGTGGTAGTCTCTGGGGTGTTACAGTGCTGGTGGTAGTCTCTGGGGTGTTACAGTGCTGGTGGTAGTCTCTGGGGTGTTACAGTGCTGGTGGTAGTCTCTGGGGTGTTACAGTGCTGGTGGTAGTCTCTGGGGTGTTACAGTACTGGTGGTAGTCTCTGGGGTGTTACAGTGCTGGTGGTAGTCTCTGGGGTGTTACAGTACTGGTGGTAGTCTCTGGGGTGTTACAGTGCTGGTGGTAGTCTCTGGGGTGTTACAGTACTGGTGGTAGTCTCTGGGGTGTTACAGTACTGGTGGTAGTCTCTGGGGTGTTACAGTACAAGTGTTAGTCTCTGGGGTGTTACAGTACTGGTGTTAGTCTCTGGGGTGTTACAGTACTGGTGTTACGTGAACGTTTGTAAACGTCACGTGTACGTCACGTGACGTACGTGTTCATAAAACCAGCTGTACACTCTGTCGTGAGTGGGTAAGTTGAGGCTCTGTATGGCATGGTCCGGGGTTCGATTCCTGGGCAGGGCGAGAAATTTGGAGGTCGTCTCCTTATATGTGATGCCTTTATTTACCTGATGGTAAATATGTATCGCGGGTGTTAGTGTAGACACAGTGTACTTCCTGTTGGTATTACCTGGGGGGTCACATGACCCCAGGTGTGTGACCCCAGTCACATGACCCCAGGACTGCATTTGTGACCCCAGATACAGTGCTGTACAGGTACTATACAGGTACCATACAGGTACCTTACAGGTACCATACAGGTACCATAGAGGTACCATACAGGTACCTTACAGGTACCATACAGGTACCATACAGGTACCTTACAGGTACCTTACAGGTACCATACAGGTACCATACAGGTACCTTACAGGTACCATACAGGTACCATACAGGTACCATAGAGGTACCATACAGGTACCATACAGGTACCTTACAGGTACCATACAGGTACCATAGAGGTACCATACAGGTACCTTACAGGTACCATACAGGTACCTTACAGGTACCATACAGGTACCATACAGGTACCTTACAGGTACCATACAGGTACCATACAGGTACCTTACAGGTACCATACAGGTACCATACAGGTACCATAGAGGTACCATAGAGGTACCATAGAGGTAGTGTTGTACCGGTGTAAGACAAGCACAGAACATAAGGTAACAGCGTGGTGTGTCTCTCTCCCTGCAGGCGGGGTCGACGGAGGATCAATGCCACACTGACACCTGAAGGATCACCTTCACCCTCGGGGGCCCTCACTCAGGAGGAGGACGGGCTCTGGGCCCCCAGCCCTCACTACGACTGTGGGGCCTCGGGCGCCTGGGTCATCGCTTACTCCCTCCCCTTCTTCGCCAGGGCCGCCGACGGCATCTTCGCCAGACTCAAGTAAGTCCTTTCTCTCAGTTGTAAGTGAAGGTGTGTGTGTCTTGTCTCAGGTAACTGCCCACACAGTCACGACTTACCTCGTGAATTGGGGTCGGGTGCGCTCAACAGATGGCGTCGTCACACTTTACCCCTGGGGTGAGGGGGGTCTTGACCCCTGAGGTGAGGGGGGTCTTGACCCCTGGGGTGAGGGGGGTCTTGACCCCTGGGGTGAGAGGATCTTGACCCCTGGGGTGAGGGGGTCTTGACCCATGTACAGAACGATGATAAGGGCCAGCCTGGAGTACCTTACGTCCCCCTGAACCTTACCAACAAAACCAACATGCTGAAGATCCAACGTGAACAAAACACTTCACTGCGCTTCGCGGCAGTCCTGACGCTGGCGGCCAGGGTAAGGACAGACCAGATCCCTGAGACACTCAACATGATGCCATTAAACACTTGGCTCAGCTGCCTGGCCTGAAGGCAGCTGTACCGCATGAACCTCCACCTGTATGTCCCAGACCCCGAAGATCCCCACCAGGCGGTAACCACCACCAGGGACTACGAGGGCCATGAACCACCACCAGGGACTACGAGGGCCATGAACCACCACCACCAGGGACTACGAGGGCCATGAACCACCACCACCAGGGACTACGAGGGCCATGAACCACCACCAGGGACTACGAGGTCCATGAACCACCACCAGGGACTACGAGGGCCATGAACCACCACCACCAGGGACTACGAGGGCCATGAACCACCACCAGGGACTACGAGGGCCATGAACCACCACCAGGGACTACGAGGGCCATGAACCACCACCAGGGACTACCAGGGCCATGAACCACCACCAGGGACTACGAGGGCCATGAACCACCACCAGGGACTACGAGGGCCATGAACCACCACCACCAGGGACTACGAGGGCCATGAACCACCACCACCAGGGACTACGAGGGCCATGAACCACCACCACCAGGGACTACGAGGGCCATGAACCACCACCACCAGGGACTACGAGGGCCATGAACCACCACCACCAGGGACTACGAGGGCCATGAACCACCACCAGGGACTACGAGGGCCATGAACCACCACCAGGGACTACGAGGGCCATGAACCACCACCAGGGACTACGAGGTCCATGAACCACCACCAGGGACAACGAGGGCCATGAACCACCACCACCAGGGACTACGAGGGCCATGAACCACCACCAGGGACTACGAGGGCCATGAACCACCACCAGGGACTACGAGGTCCATGAACACCTTTCAATCCTCCTCTCTCACTACACCCGCATCCTCTTCCAGAACTTCACCGCCCCATCCCTCTACCTCCCCCATCCTTTCCCTTTGGACATCAAGGCAAAAAGAAAACAGATAGGAAGGAAGAGGGCGTTAACACCTGGGAGGGAGAGTGGTTCTCACCCCTCCGCTGGAAGAGGGACCTGAACCCTGGGGTGGGACGGGAGAGTTCATTACCCTGGGCGTCAGACAGGACGTTTACTTTTTAGGTGGGGGGGCCCTGACCCCTGAGATGGGGAGCCTGACCCCTGGGGGCGGAGGTAGGGGTTACATTACCCATGGGGTGTGTGATGGGACAGATCCCTCTGGTAGGTATGTAGGAGGGGGGGGGCTTACTCCAGGGGTAGGGGGGGAAGGCCCATGAGGTAAGGGGGGGTGTTACACCCCTGGGGTAGGGGGGGATGACCCCTGGGGCGGGGGGGGGGGGTACTCAGTGAACTTTACACCATCTCCATTATTCACACACTTATCCCACTCTGACCTTTGTTGCTGTGCTTCTGTCTGCTTGTGGCTGGCATTGTCTGCTTGTGGCTGGTATTGTCTGCTTGTGGTTGGTATTGTCTGCTTGTAGTTGGCATTGTCTGCTTGTGGTTGGCATTGCCTGCTTGTGGCTGACATTGTCTGCTTGTGGCTGACATTGTCTGCTTGTGGCTGGCACTGTCTGCTTGTAGTTGGCATTGTCTGCTTGTGGTTGGCATTGTCTGCTTGTGGCTGACATTGTCTGCTTGTGGCTGGCACTGTCTGCTTGTGGCTGGCACTGTCTGCTTGTGGTTGGCACTGTCTGCTTGTGGCTGACATTGTCTGCTTGTGGCTGGCACTGTCTGCTTGTGGTTGACATTGTCTACTTGAGGCTGACATTGTCTACTTGAGGCTGACATTGTCTACTTGAGGCTGACATTGTCTACTTGAGGCTGCTGTCAGAGTGATGGTTCGCCTCTCCTTCAACACCGGCTTCAACTTGCGAGTGATACTGTGTCGTCTTGGGTCACCGATCATGGCTTGAGGTTCTCTACGTCTGAGACTTGTGCCATGACTTACTCGGAAGCGGGTCGTTCTTCGTCAGTCTTTGTCGCTATATGGTCGCCCCTTGTGTACAAGGGTTCCGCTAAGCTTTTGGGGTTGATTTTTGAGACTCGTTTGTCTTGGTCGCCCCAGATCTCTTACCTGCATGTTGAGTGCTCTAAGGTCCTTACCCTCTTCAGGTGTTGTCTCATACTTCTTGGGGAGGGGATAGACGCACTCTCCTTGCTTTACATTCCTCTCTCGTCCTGTCTAAGCTCGATTATGGTTGCCCTGCTTACTCGTCTGCTTCTCCTTCTACTCTTCACCGTCTTGATGCTTTGCACCATACTGGGTTGCGCCTCGGTTCTGGTGCCTTTCGTTCGACTCTCGTTCTCAACTTGCTTGTTGACACTGGCTTCCTGTCTCTCCAGGACCGCCGTGACCGCTATTGTCTTCGCTATCTTGCGCGGTCCTTGCAACACCTTCACTCTCGCCTGTGTCGTGCTTTAACTCTTGCTCCACCTGTGGTTCCTGTTCCTCTTCACCACCTCCATCTTTCTGTCCGGTTATCTCGCTTACAGGATTATCTTTCAGTTCATATTAACAATATTTCTCTTTGTATTGTTCCGTCCTTGTCCCCGTGGAGGGTCCCCCTTCCCAAATTTTGTACTTCTCTGACCCGCATCACTAAAGCTTTTACCCCTCCTACAGTTCTGAAACGCCTCTTCCTTGAGCACTTTTCTTCTCACTCCCACTCCGTTCCCATCTTCACTGATGGGTCTAAGTCTGTGGGCGGTGTGGGCTACTCTGTTGTTCTTCCTGACCACACTTATATGTGTCGCCTTCCTCCGGAGACTAGCGTCTTCACAACAGAACTTTATGCTATTCTTTATGCTCTTCGTCTCTTGCTTTCCCGGTGGCAATCCTCCTTCGTGTTGGTTGTTGACTCTCGTAGTGCCCTCATGGCTCTCGGGGCCTTTAATCCGGTTCATCCAGTGGTTGTCCAGATCCAGCATTGGCTGTTTCTTATTTCCAGTTAAGTTGGTTGAGTTTTGTTGGGTTCTCAGCCATATTGGTGTGTCTTTAAATGAGCGTGCGGATGCTGCCGCAAGGAAGCTGTCCGCTCTTGTCCCATCTCTCGTAAAGGTATTCCGTATTCCGACTTTTACCCCGGTTTTCCATTCCTCTGTCTTTACCCATTGGCAGGCTTGTTGGTCTTCTGTTACTGGTAACAAACTGCGTACTCTTAAGAGTTGTGTGTCCTCGTGGCCGTCCTCCTACCCCCGTAACCGGCGATGGGAAACGGCTCTGGCCAGGTTCCGTATAGGCCATACTCGCTTAACTCATGGTCACTTAATGGAGCGCCGCCCTGCTCCTTATTGTCCAAATTACATTGTTCCTCTTACTGTTGTGCATATCCTTGTTGAATGTCCTGACTTCCGGGACGAGCATGTCTTGTTTCCCGACCGTCCCCCGCGGTCGCCTGTCCCTCAATAGTATTCTTGGTGACTCAGATACTTTTGATATCGTTCAACTTATGTGTTTCTGTTCTCATATTGTCATCCTTGGTGATATTTAGCGGCCTGTGATTATCCCGCACATTTGATGGTGCTACACAGCCTTCCCGGTTTGGTGCCTTCTTTTGATAATTACTTACACTTTCTGTCATATTCAACAATATATGTTTACAAGAAAGTTTGCTATGCTACGAATATATATATATATATATATATATATATATATATATATATATATATATATATATATATATATATATATATATATATATATATATATATATGCGGATAAACCACATTCTTCAGCATTAGAGACTGCTGAAGGCGTTTTCGGCACAATTCGCCTTCATGATGGCAAGATAAAGAGGGAAGAGAGAATTGAGTGATGAAGGTTAAGCCAGCTAAGAGATGGCACGGGCATGAATAGCCCGTTACAGAGGGGTAGTGTGGGGGCAGACCTTACAACCCCCCGCCAGGGAGGGGGCAGGTCACCTGACCATACAACACTTGCGGATGACACATTACTTTATGGAATAATGGCAAAGTAGGGGATTTTTTTTTGAACAACAGTAAGTTAAGGGTCCTCTGGTAGGTTAGGTGGGCAGGAAATTCTCGTAAAGTTTCAAAAGTTATGAAAAACGTTAATTGAAAGTTTCCTCTTCTAATCTTACCGAGTAAGCCGGACGACTCAAACAGAAAACGGAACAGTACGTCACTTTTCTGAGTTGATTTCATTTCAAATTACGTCCAAAATTTGGTCATAGCGCCGCGCATACGAGCCAAAAGTGACGTTATATATAAGAGGACGGGTTGGAAAGAGAAGGGAAGATTACAATAATGATAAACCTAAAACATATGTTGTTTTCTCTCATAGTGGAGTTAAGGTAATTAACAATAACACTGGAGAGTAGCACATAGGTGCCGCCGGTTGGATAAATAAATACAAAAGAAGCAAATAAATAAACAAATTAAAACAGGTTAAATGGTGTATTGAGGTGGTATATTGAAGCATATATGAGGGTGTGATATATCTATACCACAGGGGTTATATTAAGGGTGTTGTTACAGTGTTTGAAGAGAGCAGACTCCGTCACATCTCCCTCAACCAAACCTTTACTCTCAACAATACACTTGGCCTCTCTCAAGTGACATAATGACCACAGAAACTGGGATAAGCCTCAATATACTACGT